TGGAGGTTACATATATCTAACTAATATTTTCCTTTTTATTTTGTCTGAATGGCGTTATTTTATTACACCGTTTGTTAGTTTTTTTTTCAGTGCTTTAGAATTTTAGGTCCACAAATATAAGCCCAACGACTCCTAGGTATTGTATTTATTATCAATTTTTTTAGATCAGTGGAGTTGTACCATTGGTGAGTATATCTGAATTTTCTTGTGAATTCCTAATGTATTTACTTTAAATGTTATTTTTTCATTATTTCTGTCTTATGAATTTATGTTTTATAAACCTCATAAGCTACAATACTAGAAATGGGGAACTTTTGCCGTTCTCGTATTCACTTGTTACATCGATTTTGTGCTTTAACTGTGTTGCATGAGGCACTCATGTTGAAAAGAGGTCCCCTTTTACCATATGTGGCACTACAAAATATTTCTTAAACAGATCCATAGAATAACATTCATGATTGATAATACACCAAATTAGACTAGATCAGGAGAACAACTAGGGTAGGATCCTAATGAATCATATCCGTTATCGGAATCTAAAAGGACATACAATCAACATTAAACGACGGATTTGGAATAAAGTCAATAGCGTTTATCCCAATGATGTTATTCGCCGAGGCCGTGTGAGGAGTCTGTTCGTGCTGACTGTCTTATCTGTCATTTTTTGTATGGTTTTGTACTTTTTCTTCAGCTCATTCACGAACATACTTGACTTGTTTCCAGAGGAAAATCAATCTTTTTATGAATCAGAATACAATGAACAAGGTGAGGTTCATATGCCGGAGGAGCCCTGGCGTTTGACAGGGCTTCAACTTCGTAAACGCACCTACACCCGGCGGGATTTACTTGCACTGTACGGCAACATGTCCTTCATCTACACCTTCGTAAACGGGACTGATGTGAACCACTTCTACCGCAAACACATGTCGATGACCTGTAAGCCTGTGCAGGGGCAGCCTGCCGCAGGTAAAGAGCCAGGGTACCACAGCAAGAGCCCGCGTCCCGTCCCGCAGCGGAGGTGTCACCCGAAGTTCCTTAAGTCTACTCAGGATCGCATCACTTTGGGTGATATACACAAACAGGCGTCGCTATTATCAGGGATATTTGTCAGCAACCGTGACCGCATTAGTGACGAGTTGCGGTATAGCTTGCGCAGCGTGGAGCAGCACATGCGGTGGCACCGTGGGCGTGTGGTGATTGTATCACCAGGACACCACCCTCATTGGATAGACGCTGCGCGCAACTTTCTTTCTGTGAGCTGTGGCGGTGCAGATGTGGAAGGGCTTCGAAAACGCGGACAGCACTTGCGCCTGACGACTTTGCACCAGGATGCTATTTTGCCGTTCGGGCTACGGTTTTCGTTGAACTCCCATATTATTGAACAGAACCTGTGGCGTGTGCGCAACACCACGTCTATGCATGTCTACTTCAACGATGATTACTTTGTAAACAGGGATGTGGACATTACTGATTTGTTGAATGAGCACGGCGGCAGCGTTGTACGCGTGGAGGGGGATACCATCACAAATGGAAAGGCATGTGACAATGCCCACCATTGGCTATATGGAGTCTTCAACACGGAGCTGTTTAACATTATCGAACTGGATCAAAACCCGGAGGATTTCTTACCGAATGATTTACTGAATCACTGGAAAAAACTAGGTCGTTTGTGTGACAATCAAGTTGTTATGGATATACCACCCTCAACAGAGTCTGTTGACATAGCCTACAGTTACGAATGGCCTCAGTTGTCCTTTATTGGAACGCTGAAGCCCCGTAGAAGTCGTTATTATGCAACGCATGCACCATTTGTATATTGCACAAACATGTTTCGTTTTCTGAGTACGCGCTACGAGCGTGAGTTTGCGTTCAACGCTTTACACAACCGCATTCGAACGTGCTCGGACATTTACATGCCGCTTGTATATAACGCGTTTATTATGACGCGACCGTGGCAGGCGTCGCCGAAGTTCTTGCCGTACTTGTGGCATCTAAACGAGTACCGTCAGTTGGCTGCGGAATGCAGTGCATTGGCAAATAGGCCAATGAGGGACCAGTCCTTTCCCTTTTCACATCTTTGTAATGGATCACTGCCCGCCAAGGAGCCCTCGAAGACTTTCATAGCGTTGAACAACACCGACGGCTGCGCACCGGCAACCCTCCTAATCGGCACTGAGGCCAATGTGTGTTTCGGAGAGTTCGGGAATAAAATATCTTCCAACAAGGAATACCTACGTAGGATCGATAACGAGAACCCCTTATTTTTCAATATCAACGCGGGCTTCTCAACCTCCGATGCAATTCAGCAGTTATTGGACTTTATGCGCAGGAAGTTTCCGAATCCCATATATCTCGATAAGGATGCGGGGCCTGTGAGCTCGGCGAATGCTGCGCTGTCGGCGGTTTACATGGCGTTAATGGAGCTTCCCGTGATTGCGGTGACGTCGTTCAGGGAGGGGGTCTGCCCACTGGTGCGGAGCTTGCAGTTGTCACTGCCGGAACACCGTGGGGGGCTGACAGTTGGGGTCCTGCCGTTCAGTGTGAAGGGGGTTGAGCCCACGCTGGAGGAGCTTCGCACGAAGCTGCAGCACGACGTGTGGGGTGTGATGGCCGCGGTTGGGTGTGTGTACAACGAGCATGTGCGCGAGCGTGTGCTACAACGCGGGGTCAGCGTCATGGACTTTGTACGGGATGTACTTGAAGAGAGCGGTGATATGGGCATGGAGCTCCCGGCATCGTGTGGTGCGTGCAGTGGCGTTCGCGTGCGTGGG